AAATGAAAAAAAAAAACAACATAAATTAGCCATAAAAAAAATGTAATTAAAATACTAGAGCCACCAAAAAGCTGTTAAAGCAGTAATATTTGAATAACAACAAATGTAAGTTCAGTGCTTCTTCTTCTTGCTATTGTAATTTGTGATAACCTACAGATGCCAAAACGACATGAGACGAGGCAGAGGCGGCGGTGGTGGCGGCTGCGGCTGCTGCTTCTGCTTCTGCTGTTGCCGTTGCCGTTGCTGTAGCGGCTTCTGCTTTGGGGTCCGGGCTCGATTTACAGTTTCACTCGAAGCGCGTGAAAGTTGCGCTTCACAACAACAACAACAACAATAACAATACACATAAAGACAAACAATTGAAAGACAAAGGTACCTAAAAGGGCTTGCCAAAGCCAAAGCTGGAAGTCGCAACCGCCACCGCAGTCGACGCCGCAGTAGTCGCAGCCAAAAATGCAAGCAAAACAAAATGAAAACAAAAACAAAAGGCACAGAAAAAAAAACATAAACAAACACACAGCAGCTGCAATTACGCACTTTTTACTCGTATTATTGTTAAATTTGTTGTATTTTTTCTTTACTCTTTTTTAAACTTGCGCAAAGCATAAACCGAAAAAAAAGGCAGACACAAAAAATATCTTAAGATGCAGCGCGTCAGGCGCAGCCGCTGCAAATTAACCGCTGCGAAAACGAAACGAAGCGCAATCAAAGCGAACTGCAAAAACACGAACCGCTTGGCGTCGCGGCTGAAGATCAACTGAAACGACGCAACGCAGCCAAGCCACACGAAGCCACCAATCCATCGGCACGAGCGAATCAAAGCAGCGAGCTGTCTGCCGCCTGCATCGGGCCAAGCTTCGGCTTAAGCTTCAGCTTCGCTTTCGACTTCGACTTCGACTTCGATTTCGATTTTTGCGTTCGCTGTCCGAATTGCTCGCATGCGCTGGCCAGCGGCCAGTCGTGGCGGCGCAGCACGTACGATTGCAAAAAGCGAAAAGGCAAACGCAGACGAACGAGAAGTAGCAAGTGGGAGGAGTGCGACAAACCATGGTGACCGACTAGCCGGATACCCTAAGCTGCACTTTTTTCTAACAAATGATGTTTAAGTGGAAAAGCATAAGGACACTATCCGTACTCTAAAATGAAAAATATACAAAACTTTTGTATAAATTGATTAAAAATAAATTGTCCCATATAAAACGAAATTAAAATTAATTATTTACTATAGACTAATCTACACATTTAATATACATTTATATAAAAGCATTCACTTTTATTTTACTGCAGCTTGCAAATTATGTGGATTTTACAAATATAAATATACTCACTGTAGGTCCTAAAAAGGAGTACCAAAAATAACAAGTAAGAAAGCTCTAGTCGAGACTGCTCGACTACGAGATCCCCT